TGATCAAGTGGGGTTCATCCCAGGGATGCAAGGTTAGATCAACATACGGAAATCAATAAATGTCATTCATCACATCAATAGACTTAAAGATAAGAACCACATGATTATCACAATAGATGCAGAAAAAGCATTTGATAAAATACAGCATCCCTTTATGTTCAAAACGCTAGAAAAATTAGGGATACACAGAGCAATTAGATGAAAGAACTTAAAGGGATACAGATAGGAAAAGAAGAACTCAAATTAGCACTATTTGTAGACAATATGATTCTATACCTAGAAACYCCAAAACATTCCACCAGAAAACTAGAACTAGTAAATGAATTCAGCAAAGTAGTAGGACACAAAATCAACACCAAAAAATCAAAGGCATTTCTGTGTATCAGTGACAAATACTCTGAAAGGGAAATAATGAAAACTACCCCATTTACAACAGCTTCAAAAAAATAAAATAAAATACTTTGGAATCAACCTAACAAAAGAAGTGAAAGACAACTTTACAACAAAAACTACAGAATGCTAAAGAAATAAATTAAAGAAGATTTTATAAGATGGAAAGTCTCCCTTGTTCTAGGATAGGCAGAATTAATATTGTCAAAATAACCATACTTCCAAAAGCACTATACAGATTTAATGCAATTCCAATCAAAATCCCAATGACATTCCTCATAGAAATAGAAAAAGCTATCATGAAATTAATCTGGAAAAATAAGAGACCCATAATAGCTAAAGGAATCCTTAGCAAGAAGAATGAAGCAGGTGGCATCACTATACCAGAACTTAAACTATTCTACAGAGCAATAGTAACAAAAACAGCATGGTATTGGCACCAAAATAGACTGGTAGACCAATAGTACAGAATAGAAGACAGAGACTAACCCATATAATTACAGTTATCTTATGTTAGACAAAGGTGCCAAAAACCTACATTGGAGAAAAGATAGCCTCTTCACCAAATGGTGCTGGGAAAACTGGAAATCCATATGCAACAAAATGAAATTAAACCGCTATCTCTCACCATGCACAAAACTCATTAAACCTGAGACCCTATGTCTAACAGAAGAAAAAGTAGGCCCAAATCTCCATCATATTGGTTTAGGCCCCTACTTCCTTAATAAGACTCCTAGAGTGCAAGAATTAAAATCAAGAATTAATACATAAGATGGATTCAAACTAAAAAGCTGCTTTTCAGCAAAAGAAAGATAGAGCACTAATCTCTAGGGTACATAAAGAATTCAAAAAGCCAAACACCAAAAAAACCCCAAATAACCCAATCAATAAATAGACCAAGGAACTAAACAGACACTTCTCAGAAGGTGATATAAAATCAATCAACAAATATATGAAAACATGTTCAACATCTCTAGCAATTAGAGAAATGCAAATCAAAACTACTCTAAGATTTCACCTCACTCCAGTCAGAATGGAAACTATTAAGAACACAAACCGTAAGTGTTGGCGGGGATGTGTGGAAAAAGGCACATTCACACACTGCTGGTGAGACTGCAAATTGGTGCAGCCAATCTGGAGATTCCTTGGAAAACTGGGAATGGAACCACCATTTGACCCAGCTGTCCCACTCCTGGGTCTATACCCAAAGAACTTAAAAACGGCATACTACAGGGACACAGCCACATCAGTGTTTATAGCAGCACAATTCACAATAGCTGAACTGTGAAATCAACCTAGATGCCCTTCAGTAGATGAATGGATAAAGAAAATGTGGTATATATACACAATGGAGTATTACTCAGCAATAAAAGAATAAACTCATGGCATTTTCAGGAAAATAGATGGAGTTGGAGAAGATAATGCTAAGTGAAGTTAGCCAATCCCAAGAAAACAAATGCCTAATGTTTTCTCTGATATAAGGAAGCTGAGTCATAGTGGGGTTGGAAGGGAGAGCATGGGAAGATTAGCAAACTCTAGATAGGGCAAAGGGGAAGGAGGAAAAAGAAGGAGGCAAGGGGTGTAAAAACGATGGTGGAATGAGATGGACATCATTACCCTAAGTACATGTCTGAAGACACGAATGGTGTAAATATACTTTGTATACAACCAGAGATATGAAAAATTGTGCTCTGTATGTGTAATATGAATTGTAATTCATTCTTCTGTCATATATAACAAATTAGAATAAAAAACTTTTTAAAAAAGTATTAGGGCCAGGGATATAGCTCAGTGGTAGAGCATTTGTTTAGCATGAGCAAGGCAATGAGGAGGAGAAAGATGCGGCAGGGATAGAAGGAGGAGGAGGAAGAGGTAGAAGAAGGATGAGAAGGAGGAGGGAGAGGAGGAGGAGGGGAGAAGAAGGGGAGGAAGAGGAGGAGGAGGAGGAGGAGGAGGAGGAGGAGAAAAACTATCAAAATGTGCTGGGTGGAAAGGGATGTTACATTCCCATCATGGTTCTTTATCAGTTCAGCCAAAACCACAAATAGAGTATGTCATGAGAGCAAAAATACTACTAAATATTTGTTTTACCAATTCTTATAAACTAGGTAGGTACAAATAGTCAATGTACACAGCTTTTAGAAGATATTCCAATGGACCAAGAAAGCCCATAAAAATGCAACTCTATGACTGGTGTTATGGCTCTTGCCTAGCATGTGTAGGCACTGGGTTCGATTCTCAGCACCCACTGACAACTAAGAAAATATTTTTTAAAAATGCAACTCTACTGTGTCTAAAATAATATAATAGCTATATTAATAATAAACATTGAATTGGTTATAACTTAGCTTATCTTTTTTATGTCAGGAGGGCTTTTATGGAATTCATAGTCAATATATTTTTAAAAGTATATCCAATGAACTCTGAACTAAAACATTGCTTTTTCTACCATTTTTATTTGTATTTGTGTAGCAGGCAGCAAAATATTAAGGATCATTCAACCAATAAGATGGAACCATTTCTTTTAAAAATAGGCTCAGGCCAGGCACAGTGGTACACGCCAATAAACCCTATAACTCAGGAGGCTGAGGCAGGAAGAATGCAAGTTTAGAGCCAGCCTCAGCAGATTAGCAAGGCACTTAGCAACTGAGCAAGACTCTGTCTCTAAAATATAAAAAAGGCACCCCTGGGTTCAAGCCTCAGTATCAAATATATACATATATATATACACATACACATATATATACATACATATTTATATATACATACATATACGTACATATATATGTACGTGTATACACACACACGCACACACACACTCATATATGGGCTGAGGATGTGGCTCAGGGATTAAGCACTCCTGGATTCAATCCCTGTACCAAAAAAAATAAAATAGGCTCAGTAGTATGTAAGACACTAAGAACCTAAGTTAAAATTTAGTTTTCACTTTTAAGTTTCTTCATTATGGATCCTCTCGTTCTCATTATAATGGTTATCTTTGCTATTTTCTGCCCTCATACCCAGAAACAATAGAGAATAGGGGATAGAGGGACATGACACAAAGCATAACTAAAATTGTGGGTAAGTAAGTGGAAGAAGAAAAAGGGTAACATTCTTTATGTTTGGTGATAGACTTCCAAATTTCTTGTTTGTTGTCCTTTAAACAAGAGATATCAGAGCTTTTAAATTTTTTGTTCTGCAAATTGACCAAATTATATTGTTATATTGTGCACATGTAAAAATATGTAACAATGAATCCCACTATTGTGTATAATTATAATTTACCAATATAGTTTTTTTTTTTTAAACTTCATTCTGCCATCTCCCTGACTGACTTCTCAAGGCCAACAGTTTGGGACTCTACTATAAAAAGACAGACTCTAAAAGAACAAATAAAAATTAATTAATTAAGTTTTTTAAAAAGACACACCAAAAAAAGACATGGTAAAAGCATTGAGAATAGGCAGATGTGTTGAGAGCCACAGCCAAAGGGGGCCCCAGCAAACTTCCAGCTGCCAGCAAACTTCCAGCTGCCGGCTGATGATTGGCTCACAGTGGCCCCAGCAACATCTAGCTGATTGGCTCCTCTGCTGTGATGTTCATTGGGCTGTTTCCCTGCCCTTCAAGCTGCCAGCTGATGATTGGCTCACAG